TGCTCCACGAAATGCTTCCTTGTAGCTGCACCTGCCTGACTATAGCACGCCTGCCAACCGCAAACACAGGGGAAGAAAAGGAGAAGCAGCACAGGGGTCAGATGTTCTAGTATTACTGCCATTTCAGCTGCTGTCTCAGCGACAAACACCTCCTCATTGACTTGTGCAGACTGACTCCAAGTGGCAAGGGAGCTACAACAAGCAGAAAAACAGGCTGTAACAAGTGTCAAGTTGCAGTAGACTGCACTCAGATGCTCTCACATCTCTCAGCTGAGACTCATGAAGTATGGCAACACTCGGTGGCATCGCAATACGTGCTTTTGTAAATAACGAATACTCCTTAGTATAAATTATTTTGCTAACAATTACATTGTTATTCCTTTTCTGTGATAGTAGTAGTACTTCTTTGGTGATACCATTTCTTCAAGGAGAGCTCTGGTAAAGAGAATAATCAGAAGTCTCTCAAACTCTTGAGGCACAATCATCTCTTCACAGGGCAATGCAAATGTTCAAAATGTGATCTGAAAAGCATCTGCCTATATGGTTTAGCTGCCAGTCCTGATTCAAGCTCTGCTCCTGGGTTTCCCTGCTAACAGCTACTAATGGAAACAAGATCCTAGACTAGATGAACCCTGGGACAGTTCCACAATAACTATTCTTACATATTGTCCAAGGAACATATTAGTTATACAAACTGGCCAAAAGAGCAATCATTTTCTTCACGACTTAAACTGTCTCTGATAGACTGCCGAGCTGCAGGGCCACTAGTATCTGCCATTGCTTGCCAAGAAACTAGATATATGTCACAAAGCTATCCAGTTTTACCAAGCAGGGTAAAAATACAGTCAGTGGTAATATTGATCCCAAAAAGATCTCATTTCTAAGGAGAGAACTTTTCAGACCCAGAAAGGCAGGAAAGGAAAAGGGAAAGGGAAAGGGAAAAAAGGAAAAAAAAACCAAAAAAGAAGAAAAGAAAAGAAAAGAAAAGAAAAGAAAAGAAAAGAAAAGAAAAGAAAAGGTCCACTGGATGATGTTTTAGCTCTTTCTTTCAGGGACTTCTATTTGTTTTGTCACATAAAACATATAATGTTGGAATTGAGTAATCCAATCTTTTCAGGTCAGCTCTGAAAGGAGTACAGTTTCTTAGTAACTTCCTTTCAGCACAGAATTCAACCTGAAGAGACTTAATAAAGTAGCAAAAACTAATTTTATAGCTAAAAAGCAAGCCTCTGATTGAACTGCTAATTTTTTTTTCTGGGATACTAAAAAGATTGTAGAAAGACAGAAAGAATGCCTCATATTAGAGCTGTCAAGAAACACGCTCTCTCTTTGAGCCTTGGACAAAAGGCTGGGATGAAAGGCTCCCTTAGAACAAACAAGTCTGGGTCAGCTGTGAGAAGACTGAAAAAACAGGCTGGAAAAGCAAAAATACTTGAGTGAAGAATTACAAATACCTACTCCCCTACAATGACTTTTGAGCAACTGAATCTTAGCTGTCTTTGTCAAAGTCTTCCCTGGCCATTTTCTGTCTGAGAAAATTTCCAGCATACTTTCATTTTAAACAGTCTGTGCAACATTTTTAAAGTCAAAGAACTTACAGATTATACAGAAATTACTTCAAATAATGTACTCAATTGTGTGTCCCTTCCAACTCAGAATATTCTGTGATTCTGTTGATTTCCCATATTGATCTCTTCCACTGAAAAATTAATACCTAATGCTGGATTATGTATGCAATTTTTAATTACCCAAAAATGTTTGTCCTGTATGCTGACCTTTCAGAGCAATCATACAAGATGACTGTAAATATCACTTATGTACTCAAAATTCACCAAATGCAGCAGTGCTGACTGTAAAAAGAATGATAATGGTAAATGTCATCACATATTTTATAGACTTAATAGGAAAATGCTTGTTCATGGCATGATATACACAGCAAAGATCACCTGCAGGTGTACTTTTCCTCATGGACTTTACTCACTTTATGAGTAACTATGCTTTACTCACTGCATACTTCACCTATAAGGCATGGCATCAATGCAATCACCACCAAAATGGATTCTATGAGCGAACATTAGAAATGTAGTTTGCTACTCAAAAAAGTGAAATGCTGGAACATGACAAAACTGGTCAAAGAATAATACACAACAATATTACTAGTAATTCTTGCAGTAAATCACCCCACTGACAAAACATCACTTTCTAGCATTCTTCTGCAGCTAATAATCACACATATCTTCATATCACACAGTCTTCATACGGCAAAAGCCTATGTGTCAACAACAATATGCAGATTGGTAGTTAAATGAGAAAAGAAAAAGTTTGGAGGGTGTGCTCTAGAATCACTAGTAGTCCTAAAAGCTGAAAGTCTTTCCAATACTGAATAGTTGAAACACATAAGTTTTTTTTTTTTAATAGAATAGTGAAACTGCAACTAAAATAACAAAATACAGTAAATGTACTGTAGTAGCTCTGAATTACAACATTATATTAGAATTTCAGGTGATACTGCTAATTTAGCTTTTGGAAACATACCTCTTTTTACAATCTAGTGGTCTAGTGGTACCTGAGATTTGAAAATTTGTTTCCAGGAAATCATCACTTAAACACTTTATTATACAATGAAACATACTATACATTTAATTACATGATCATTAAAGTTCTTTTTCTAAAAGGTACTGTTTCCTTTGGGAGCTTTTTAATATTTTTTAGAGTTAGGTAATGTTGTCCAGCCTAAGCAAATGGCAGTGTCAAAGCATAGCCCTACAACACCTATTTCTCCATGCACTGCAGCTAAAGATCACAAAGTGTTTTCAGCTACTAGAATTACTGGTGTTCAAGAAAAGAGGTCTGCTTAGTTGCAATATTTGTTAGGAATTTTTACTATGGAAAAACTGGGGTGACAAAGAGACACCCGCAGTGACTGAATGCTGTTCACTTACTCGAGACTCTGTCTGCACCGGTACAATAGCGTCCGCAAATTCAAACAGTCCGAGGACGATTGGGCTGAGGTGCGCGCTGTGTGCCTCCCTTGTAACAACTGTTGCAGCTAAGAAATACTGACAAATGCTTCCGATCAGCATGTCACCTTCACCTAGAAAGAGACAGGACACAACAGAAAAATGGGGTGGGATTTCCTGAAATGATGGCAAGAGTTGTCTAAAGCACCTTATTTCACCATCTAACTCCAACAAACGAAACTACCTTAACATCAATCAGCCATGTTCTCTAGGGAAAAGGAAGAAAAGGAAAGGAAAAAAAAAAAAGGGGGGGGGGGGGGTTTAAAAAAAAAAGGAGGGGGGGAAAAAACCAAACCTAAAAAAAACAGGTTGATTTTCGACAGCTTCACCTCTGTCGGTGCGACATCGGCTCCGCCGCAACTGGTGTTACCGCTACTCCGCCGCCACAAGCAGGGGAGTGTGCGACCCGTTCAAAAACATCTCCTTTAAAGTACCGTTGTTTAAGACCGGGAAAAAAAAGGTCTGAAGGGGACCGCCAATCCTGTGGATGAACCCCATCCCCACCCGCATCAGCCTGCCCGTACCTTGTCGCCGCCTCCCGCCACCGCCGCGGCTCCGAGCTGCCGACAGAGACAATGAGCCGCTTTCAGACGTGGCCGAGGCGCCGGGGCAGCGGGAGGAGCCCAGGAAGAAGCCGATCCGCCCCGCTCCCGGAGCATCCCCGGGCAAAGGCGCAGCCTGGCAAAGGCGGTCCACTGGCCTGCCCCGCCCCGCACGGGCCATTGACTCCCGCCCCGCACATGCATCCTGCAAGTCCCTGGCCCGCACGGTCCCCACTGGCTCGCCGAAACCGGCTCGTGGCAACACCGCCTGGGCCTGGCCGCCGCAGCAGCCAGCGCCCGCGGCCTCTCCTCCGCGGCCCTTCCTCTCCTCCCCGCGGCCTCGCCCGCCTCCCTCCGGCCCGGCCCAGCACCCGCAGGCGAACCGAGCTCGGCGCGGCCGCGTCCCGCTCGCCTCGTGCGAGTAGAATGAGCGGATAATGCCCCCTGCAAACGGGCTGCTTGGTGAGTTAACAAGCAACGAGGTGGTTTCTTTTATCCTAGTTCCACCTCTTAAAAGACTTCTGAAGCAGGACTCTTACAGGGCCCTAACATCCATTTAAACAGAAACATCCAATAAAACAGAACAAAACAAAACCAAAACAAAACCAAAACCAAAAGTTTGACTTTTTATGTTGCTTAGCAAGCTAAAGGAAGAGTCCTTGCAGACAGCTTTCTGAGAAAGGCTCTTCCTTCCTACACCTCTTAATGCTGATTGCAGTGGATCTTAAGGTATGTATTTTTCCCGCTTAGTTCAGTTTGTTGCTTAAGCTATAAAATCTTGCCTTATTTCTATTGCTTGGTTACCTACAAAAGTATAAAATCTCTTCAAGTTTGAGAAACGAATCAGAACTATGAACCAAGAACTATGGTCAGTATAAAAAGTGACCCAGGAAGTGACCGCAGCAGAGGTATCACAGGGGTTTTTCCCCTGATGTGGTATCATCTGCCTTTATGGCTCCTTTTACCCTGCACTGAGTTATTAGTCCCAGTCATGAAACACCTCTTTGAAAATAAATGGAGGGATGCCTTCAGGTCATATTAAACAATTACATGCCACCTGCAAGTAAATAACTTTTTTGATTACCTCCTTCTAATGTATATCGTTCTTTGCTTACATTACTGTGGAGGATTTTTTACAGTTTTCTCCATCTAAAGGAAAAGAGAACGTTAAGGATATTTTTCTCTGTATTTCTGGAAGTAGACCTAATCTCCATTTCTTATTTCACATGCATTCACTGAACTGTTGCTCTGGGTGGCTTTCAAGCATTAGTCTCTTACATATTTCTGTTGCTACCTTAAACAGACTTCTGTTCAGCTTGGAGGAAGACTCTCAGAGATTCAATTTTTGTGGGAGTAGAACATTCAAACCCTTAAACTGCGGTCCTGTGATCTCTCCAGAGATTTCTACCCCTTGCTCATGGCCACCTTAATGCTTGTGCAGACACATACCAAGTTCAGTCAGGGAACTGACTTGTCTGAAAAAGTGATTATATATTTGGTAAAGATCATCTTCATCAATAATGAACTCCCCGAATAAACGCATGCACTCATGCAAGCACCATTACTGCTGCAAGGGAGAGCATACCAAATGTACATCAGCTTGAGATACGGGGGAAACAAGCTCACAGCCCCCTTCATTCATGCTGTGCAGTGGCTAGAAGCACTAAAAAGCAGTAGACAGTTGCTTTGACTCTGAGGATGCAAACATGAAACCATTTATCAGCAGCCGTACGCTGCCACAGAGATTCAAAGATCCAAGTGCAAACTGGAGACTTCTGGAAAAGGTAGCTCTCCCAGCTGCTAGGATGTCGAATTCTAGAGGACAATGGCCAAAAGGTGGCCTACTGCTAAGCTGCTCTTTCATATTTCATAGATGCACCATGTCTTAAGAGTTCAAGAGAACCAAAGACACTTGGAATTTTTTGCAGAATTCTAGCATCTAGAATTGTTTTAAATTCTGACCTGACATAACATTGTGTTGCTAGAATTAATTCTTCAATACAAAACTGAAAACATAATGGAAATTTCGTTGTTTTGTCTTGTAAGCTTGTCTGGCATAAAAAGTAAGCCCAGAAAAAGAAGATAAAATAATCTTCCCTATGACCACTACCATCAAGAATGAAGGACAGTTTTTCAGTGTTTACCAGGTAATTACAATTTTTATCTGTTCTAAACTATTTAAGTTCTGAAGGTAATTATTCACTTACTTTGAAACTCTGAGTCTTCACTGGTAGAATTTTTTGCTAGCTTTCTTTCAATCGATACAAGGATTCTCTGTTTTACTATTCACAATTCACAACTAATGGTCTAGTGCTACAATAATGATGCCAACAGTAAATGGTTGTGCAAATTTTGCACACACTATCACCCAAACCCTGGTTTCTCACATCAACCTTGAATTTATTCATCATACAATTTAATAATTAAACTGTTGAGTATGTATAGCCACAGTTACAGAAGCACTCTGACCTTAACTCATCCATGCATTTTTTCATTTCACAGTGCACATAAATGCACGTACAAATAACTCTTCACAACTCTAAGACTACAGTGAATTGATTTACAAGAAGTAGAAACAGTTAATGTTGTAATGTTGTTGATTTTAGCATATTATTTTCAGTTTTCAAGATGGGTTTTGATGTGCGTTCCAGTTGCAAAAAAAATAACTAGTCTCTTCTTTAACTGTCAAAAATATAAAATTTTTCAGTTCCAAAGCAGTGTTCCTAAAGAAATCAGATGAATGAACATGTATTTTCAAAAGGAAGCATGAACAGAGCATACTTGGAACATACAAAATTCTGATCTTCTGAAGTAAGAAGTATATAGAGAATAAAACTGGGTTACTATTTTTGGCATTTCTATAAAGTGTTCTCAGGCATCTCTTCAGGACTGGTGCTGTTTGTAGGATAGTACTGGAGATAGAGGCAGAAGTGGTGATACTGGAATTGTAGTCAACACCTGATTCTGGAACAAAAACATCTTAATCCTACCGAACACCCAAAGAAAGATAAGGAGGATGCTGACATACTGGATCCAGGCAAATTTAATAATTTCCCAAAATCCCGGCTGATATTTAAAGAAAGTCAAGGAGTGTTAATAAACAAGCTTCTGATGCTATCACTGCAATATCTAAACAAAGAAAATCATAGGCAGAAAGGCACAAATCTTGTTAAGACATGAGTTTGTGCCACAAATGGTAAGCTTCTGAACCACAGAAACACCTAAGAGCCTTCTACCATGGTGGGTAACAAAAGCTGGAGACATGGTCTGTCCTAGAAGATATTTAAACCAAGTCTGGGTCAAGAACCTACTTTGTGTCTGAGTCACCAGGAAGTACTTATTTTTAATATTCAGGCAAGTAAACAAATCTTGTAAGAAGTGCGCTCCATACAGATTCTTCTAAATGCAGATTTGTTCTTATCTAAGAAAAAGAGTGAAGAACATAATGAACAAAGAATTATTTTATTAAAAAAATTAAAAAATTCTGGTCTGTCTGCACATGAACAGATGTAACAACCTCCAGCTGCGGGAGTTATTTGGTGAGATGATCTTGCATACAGATTTCTAATTATCTGTTTTAGGTCACAGACTACAGTATCATGCTTTGCAAGTGGCACAGATCAGGACAGCAGGTACTGCAGAACCAAAGCAAGATGTACTACAAATATTCCCTGAGAATAGCTAACAAACTGCTTTAAAGGCCTTTTTAGCAAAGCTGAAAAGCAACACAGGTTCCCAATAAAGAAAGGCAAAAAGTGGTTATGCAAGCACAACCATCTGAAGGAATGGACAAATGGGTATTTCATTAACTCGACAACTGTAGCATTTGCTTAGCTAAAAAAAAAAAATTAAAAAAAAAAAAAAAAAAAAGTTTAGCAACACATCTAAGAGAAAACAGTTTTCATTTTGCCTGTATGTGGTGGGGGCTGAAATAATATAACCCTGTTATGTCACAGTATGTGCAGTTTTTGAAGGATATAAGATAACTTCTACTGGGTAGTGAATGGTGGCATTAATGATAAATGGCGTATCCATCGCTCTTCCAGTCATCCAAACAGGGCTGGGATCTGAAAACACTGTTGTCACTAAAATAGAGAAAGGAGACATCCAGGTTAAGGGGCTTTTTAGGTATTAATACAGAAGTTCTACACTTCACAAAACAGCTGTCATTATGCTAACTACTACTGTCCCATAGATACACATTCAGGCTTACCATTTCTATCCCAATATGCTGCAATGATGTTTGTTAGATCATAGTCACTTGCAAAAGGACTTGTGCCATTGACCACAGACACCTGTTACAACAAGGAGACACTTTAATTATTTGTCTAGTCTTCAAGAAAATAATTCTACTAACTTTCTTACACAAAGTAACCATGCCTTTCAAGGAATGAACATAAACATCAGACTGAACATCTAAGCAGAATAACCTCTTCCCTCTTGTAGTCTAACAAGAAAACATCAGTTCCAAAGTCTTACAGCTTGCTCTGTGCAGTAGTACAAATAATGAGGGTGTCACCTATGATACTAGGAGGATTAAGAGGTTGGGGGGGTGAATTGATGGGGAAGGGAAAAACATTTCCTCACATTGTATCTGGTATCCAGTCCACAATGGTTAAGTAATTGCCTCTGGTTTAATTTCAAATCTCCATTCACATAGAGCTGAGAGCCTGGCACAGGAGAAAAATACTGAAGAAAAGCCATGCTCTGCATCACAAATGTTGACATTCTCTGAAATAGTGAACACAAAAAAGGAAAATTTAGGAGGAGGAGGGGGGACACAAGACACTTTTCTACCTCTTGGTATCTACAATTTTTTTTACACGGATTTGATTCTTCTATGACTCCCAAGTTTCAGATCATCACCTTAGTCTAAACAAGGGAACACCAAAGAAAAAATACCTTCTTTTTTAAAAAGTGAACTACCTTAGTTAATAGTTAACTAACTTTATTAACTCAACAAAGTTCCACAGGAAATTCAGTGAAGTCAAACATCTGTGGCTAATGACAGAAAGGTTTGACTAGCCGTAACATGTAAAAAGCAGCAAGGTGACTAAAGACATTCATTGGAGATACACTTTAAAAAACTCAAGTCAAAATCAAGGACTTGCACTCTGCAATAAGAATGAAATAAAGAAGGTAGGTCCTTAGTTCTTATCAACCACTCAGTCTGAAGGAAAATTTCCACATTTACAGTGTGGAATAAAAAGTGTGGTGAATATTATAACTCTGTTATACTAATACCTGACCAAATACTTCAGCCCAAATTTAGGACCGTTGGGCCTTTATTCTGGGCCTCAGGCTTAAGAATGTTTTCTACACCACATAGCTATGCTTGCTAAGCTTGTCCATCTGCAATCAGCAAGACTCTCTAAAGAAACAGCCTAATCTCCCTAGGAAAACAACTTCTTGTCTGCGTGGCTGCACCCAACACAGCTCTTTTTATTACTCCTTTCAGATATATCGCTGGGTTCTCTGTGCGCTGGTCTTTTACTCTTTGCTTTAGATATTAATTGCACTTGAGGTACAATGGCAGTGGAATTGTATTGTCTTCCTGTAGCACTTTCTTCTTTGTTCCAGTTACAAGATACAGAAGATCCTGGCAGATGATTACCCATGCTTCAAGAGCTGTTAAGCAAAATCTAAGGAGTTTTAGGTTGCTGCAACAGGCTGACTGTCCACGTCAGAAAATGAACTAATTATGTCAAGACACAGCAGTGTATAGGAATGCACATCCTTCTGCCTATTGCAAAACTCTCAGTTGTTTCCAGGTGCCACCCAAACTGATACTCGCTGTTGTGCATTTCTGTTCTGTACGGTGCACTACGGCCCAAGAGAACATAGAGCTTAAAAATAAAAAAAAAATTCCTAACAAAGTGTATCAAAATACGCAACACAGCTAGACGAGGAATGACAGAGCAGAGGAAGAGAAAATTAAGTATTTTTTAGTAAAATACATATTTTAGATAGGAGTTTCAAATGTGGAAAGTTTCTTTTCATATTTACTATAAACACTACTGGAATACTACAATAGGTCTATACATCACAACAAACAAAACTAAAAATGCTTACATAAAGGTGGTAGGAAAAGAGGAGAATCAACTGAACGCCAACTACATGCTCTGCTGGTTGTAGTGGAAGTTCCAATTTAAAATGCAACTGATCCATTTTGCCATCTTGATTTTTGTCTTCTTCTCTAGTCTAAACAAATTTTTTTTTAAAGACAGGAATTTCTGTTAGAAAGAAAAACAAGAAAAGTAAAACCCCAGGGGACCTCCATAACTGCAGCACACACATACCAAGGAAGCAAATAAACTGCGTAGTTAGGAATGCAATAAAAAACGACTTGACTATTTATAGACAGGACTAGAGACAAACAAGAAGCCTACGCTGCTGTCTGTTATACAATGTCTCATATACCCCTCCAGGGAGGGAAAGTTTACTTCAAGGTCTTTTCTGCCCTACACCATTACAACCGTCTCCCCTGCATGCCACAAAGCATGCCTTAGTGCTGGATCTTCTGTAAGACAGTGCAAATATATGACTGACGGTCAGGCTTGTGCCTCCTGGCCCTGCAGCATGCCTCTTGCCTGTTAGCTGATACCTTCCTATGAGCCAAGGCTTGCTTATGCTTGTGTACCAGAATGTCCAGTACTTCAGCTACTTGCAAATATAGCAGGGCTCATAATAGAGGCAGACAGAAAAATAACTGCCATGGTGTAATCTCAGAAAGAAGAGTGACGGCAAGGCATAAATTATGTGCTTCTGAAGGCACATACCTGCTTCCAGATCTAGGGCTACCCTGCAAACTTCCCATCATGATATGCCATGTGGCCAGGGGAGATGGGCACAACTAATTTGATGAAAGTAAATGGGTGCATTCACACAAACGACCAATGGTGTTTACGGACATGATTCAGTGGCAAAATTGGTCGGGTTTGGTTAATGACTGGACTTGGTCTGACGGGCTTTTTCCAATCTAAGTAATGCTATGAGTCAGTAACACTGAGAGGGAGTGAAACGGGACTGATTAAAAATCCGGCAAATCCCGATGTGAGGCACAAGTTTATACATAAACCTGCTGCTACCTGAAGGCAGCAGTACCTGACGGGCCACCCGCTCAAAAGCGCCATCAGCGCCCGTGCCCTGGAGCCGGCTGTCGGCCCGCTGGCCCCAACTCTGCAGCCTCGCGTCTCGCCACTGTTGCCGGGCAGGCCTACCGACAGGAGCGGGACTCGGAGCCGGTCCTCCTGGAGCCTGTTGAAGGCTGGGAATGTGCTCCACGCCAAGAAGCTGCCTGGGCCAGACCCCATGGTGGCGACGAAGAGAACCTCGTACCGGAAACGAACAGTGGGCTGCTCCTGGTACGCGCTTTGCTTCAGCCAGAAACCTGAGGGCAGAAATAGCACGAGGTTTCAGGACTGCGCCGGGACCGGCCGGGGCGCGCGGGGTCCAGTGGCGCTCACCGTGGCTACGGTAGGCCACCAGCAGCGGCGGCACGTAGGTGAGCGTCGTGATGAGCAACAGCGCCAGTGCAGCGGCGGAGCAGAGCCCAGCCCGGTAGCGCGTGTACAGCGCGGGATGCGAAAACAAATCCACGCCAGCCATGGCGAGCAGCCCTCAGTGCCCGAAAACACCACCCCTCCACGCACTCCCACCGGCCTCCCCCGCCCGCGCCTTCAGCGCTGCACTGGCCGAGCGTCGGACTGACGAAACGCCGCGCCAGTCAGCGCCGAGGGGACGGGCGCATCAGCCAATGAACGCGCACCGCTGCCTCCCGGGGCCGCCGGCGAGATAGTGCCCGGCAGCGGGATGGGGACAGACGGATGGGGACACCTTCCAGGGCGGCTAAGTCTGTGGAGCGGCTTCGAGTGCCCCGAGAGCGCTGCAGGCAGCTTCACAGCCGGCAGGTGACTCCGTGCCCGGACGCCACAGCCCCGCCCCGCGATCCCCGGCCGGAAGCGCGACTGCTCAAGCGGTTGCCGGGGAACAGGCGAGCCGGAAGTCCCGCCTGCCGAGCCGCGGCTGTTGTTGTGACAGGGACCGTGACAGCGACAGGCCCGGCACGAACCCCCGTCCCCCGCACACGGGCCTCGCTGCCTCTGGCTTCGCTCCCCGCCCGCCTGCACGATGAAGTGGATGTTCAAGGAGGACCACGCGCTGGGTAAGGGTGGGTCCGGGCCAGGCGCTGCATGGCAGCGGCCCCGCTGCCATCAGTCTCCCGCGTCGCCATCTGTCGCGGTCGGCTTCCCCAGGCGGTCGTCTCGTCTGTGGGCGGACAGCCGCTGGCGGCCCGCGCCGAAGGGTGGTGCGGTGCCCGGGGATGGTCTCCTCGAAAAGCTAGAGACCCGCTCGGAGGCGGGAATATGATTGCGATCCCCGCGGGCTCACGGCCCTACCTGCGCTGCCCTCTCGGCCTAGGACACCGGCAGTATTATTACTACTATGCAATGACTAACTACGAGTTTTGTTCACAGAGCACAGATGTGTCGAGTCCGCAAAAATCCGAGCCAAATACCCCGACCGTGTCCCGGTGAGTAACCAAGCCAGCTTCAACGGAGTACTTAGAGGCAAAGGTGGATAAACGGTTTCCATCCTGCCCACTCTGAGTTCCTGCTAAGCAAATTAATTTTCCTTTTTGTGTCCTTAGAGGTTTTAAAGAAGCCCCAAACACATCTAGCTACTCCAGCATTTCATCTTCTGCCCCACTGCACATTGAGAAATAAGCTTTCTAAACACCACGGATTTTTATATCATGGTCCTGCTTTCTCCTAATGGCAATTATATCCCAGCAAACACCTTCATTGTCTTGAAGATTGTGCCTGATTCTTAGAAAGATTATGAAGACTCTTGAAACCTTGACCATCTTTCTTCCTGGCTAAATGAGTTAGATTATATCCCTCATGTATTCCATGTCTATAACCAGTCATCACGGTGAATTTCACAATGCAAACCCTGTTGTTTGAAGAGCCAGTGCAAATGGTGACCGCTCCTTTCTGCATTAATATCTACCAATCTGCTAAACAGTGAATGACCTCACTTCTCTCCCCAATCCCTTTAACCATGTTTCAATCTCTGAAAAGACTACAGTTCACATCCTTACGTATAACAGCTAGCAACATATCCAAATTGTCAGCTCACTTGCTTGAGTGTAAAATTTTCCACATCCCATCTGACCACATTGCCTGTTAGTGCCACTCCTGCCTCTCACCTTTTGGTAAGTAATTCACCCATTAGCACAGCCCAGAGAAGAATCTTCATTCTCATTGACTTTTTCTACTGCTCAGTTGCATCTAGTCACAAGATTTTCTCCAGTTGCAGTCTGATAAACTGGTATGATCCTTGCTGTTCTCTCTTGTCTAACTATTCCACATATCCCATTATCACACAGACTGCAGTATCCTTAATGACCATACATCTCCACAGTATCCATTTACCCATTTCAAAAATATCCTTGGTAACCTTAGAGGAAAAAGAAACTTAGAAACTCATAGTGTGAGTCTGAATTACATTGTATCAGGAACGGACAGCAAGGTGTAGACAGATATAAGAATTAAATGTCAAATTGCAGCAATCCTTTGTCTGGACCGGTATGTGTTTTCTGGTTGATGATTCAAACTGAACCACGTACCATTGATACCAAATAGTTGGAATCAATTGAATAGTCAGAAGTGGTTTTCAATCGTAATGTTTCAAGTGGAATGCAGAGCTAAGGAATGGAGACCCTGGAAGCTATTGTAAACCCTATTTCCTTACCTGCTGTATTTTTCCTTCAAGAATCAAGTAGCATAGTACAATAAGCATTGGGTCTTTTTCACAAGCAGTACTGAATTATCCTTTCCCCTGTACTTGTGGCTTTTTGTTTGGTTTGTTGATTTTTGTTTGGTTTTGTTTGTGGCCATCTTGCTATCTTTCCTTCCTGTAGTCAATTTCTGGTTTCTGAAGCAGTATGTCAGTTCAGCAAAATACAAAGGTAGCCTCACCAGTACCACTACAGGGGAAGGATCTGATCCCAGTCCTTTGCCTAATGCAGTCCAGGACGCTATTAGGTATTAGTAGCTATTAGCTACACTATTATCATCAGTGTACAAAAGTTCAGTGATGTGCGTACTTTCATGTCACAGGTGTCTTTAAGGCATAATGCACCTTTTTACCCCATGAATGCCAAACACAGGCATGGGAAGTTTCAAGCCATTGTGTATATGAATGTAGGTTTCAGTGCAGTTGAAAAATCAGGTTTTACAGTGCTGAGCCAGTTCAACCTCTGATTTGGTTGCGGTCAGGAAACCATTTTTGTTCATCCCCTCTGCTCACCATTGTAAGCCTGTACGAGCAAGCGATCTACCAAAGCTGTCTGTTCATACCAATCCTGAACAGCCTGACCTTCATACCTGCACTTTACAGGTCATAGTGGAGAAGGTCTCAGGATCTCAGATTGTTGATATTGACAAGAGGAAGTACTTAGTTCCGTCTGACATCACCGTGGCCCAGTTCATGTGGATCATCAGGAAGAGGATTCAACTGCCATCTGAGAAGGCAATATTCCTCTTTGTAGACAAGACTGTCCCACAATCCAGGTGAGAGGCTATTCACTTGGTATTCAGAATCATTTCAGCAAGCCTGTGCATATTAGAGGGCCAGTAACACCACTCTTTGAGGCTCATTTGGTGATTTTAGGAGATGTTTGTCACATCTTAATCCCACTAAAAGTTTTTTTTCTCATGAGTTTGATAAATATCTTATTTCTTGAGCTAGGCTGAAAGGAAAGGCGACTGAAAAATATGCTATTACTTACTTCTGTGGCAAAAGAGTGAGCTTTGCAATTACAATGTTCTTGCACATGGTTGAGTGCAAAAACACGTACATCATCAATGTCAAAAACCAGTGATTTTCAGTATAGCAAAAAAAGTTGCACATTACTCAACAACATATGCCATAAATTGTTCTGAAAAAACCCAGGAACCTGTCAGTTTACAAAGAAATTATAACACTACAGACTAGTTTCTGGTTCTTTTTTTAAAATAATTTTCTTCTATAAAAGAAAAGATTAATTGCAATAGAAAGGTTTTTTGCATTTCTTTTATATAGGAATAAGTTTCATTGTTTTCTGCTACGTACAGAATATAGCAGAAGTAGCTACTACAACTTTCTACAGAAGATACTTTAGTAACATTTAAGGAAATAGTATGTCGTTACATGCCTTAGATGTGATATTATTCTTAATACTTAATTTTATCAGAAAGAGTCCCTCCTGGTAACCTGATACACAATAGGGACCCATAAGAACCATCCCTTTCTGCTTGTTTTCTTCTAACTGTACTGAGGAATGCCTACATGTTATCTTTACAACAGTAATATAGAATTGCTAGGAGCAGGAGAGATCGTATCTTCATAATGAGATGTCACATCTCAGCTAGAAAACAGGACTTTGATCGTTCAATATTAATGTAAAAATGGTAACTTCTTAACCGATAAACAAAAACACAATCTGTTTGTGACTCCGCTAATGTCACAGGCTTGAGTTTATGTAATAAACTTCCGTATGAGAAGAGAAGGATGTCAAGGGGTGGTGATCTATCTACTAGTCACCAATTCTCTTCCATTTTAAGTACTGCTTACAAATCCACCCAGCTCCTCTCTTGGGCAGAATGGCATCATTGTTTTCCCTGTCACTCACATCCAGTCTCCATCCTTCAGTTCATTAGCCTTTTCTCAGTTTTGGGAAGTCAGAGAAAGTTGAGCTGAGGAGGCTTTATTTGTGCACCTGACTGATGTCTACTGCTCCAACTATCTGTAGATAGATTGTTGGAGCAGTTGACCAGCCACCTAATTGCAAGGGTCTCTTGTTGTTTTCAAAATAGAGACCAATTTCCAACAAAATAAGGAAGCATTCTGCCAAAGGCATTTGTGAAGAAATATAAAAATGTTTACGCTGCAGAGAGTCCAGGATCATTTCTCTAACTTAGGAGTCACCCGCTTTTTATTTATCCTCATTTTTTGTATTCTAACCTATTCACAGACTTACAAGTTTTAGCTTTTATTAATCCGTGTTTATGTGAGGTTCTAACTGTTAACATTGGCAACTTGCATAAGCCAAGCAAATTATTTCTCTTTTTTTCCCTTTCAAGCTTAACTATGGGACAACTTTATGAGAAGGAAAAGGATGAGGATGGATTCTTGTATGTTGCCTACAGTGGAGAGAACACATTTGGTTTCTGAATGGTGGGTCTTGGCTACTGTACCATCCTGTTGTGTATCTTGTAAATAGCTGATCATTTTTTGTTCTGACACCCTCAGAAGTTCCTTCTATATACATGCATTTGTAACTGGATTTATTTCTTAATATATTGCTAGGTCTTGTTTTATTAGACTGTTAAATTATAAAAAGAAAGTTTTGTTGGTTTTGTGTATTTTTTTTCTCATGGCTATGAACTCCCAGAGCCTTAGTTCTTTGGGGGGGTATACATTTGATTTCATTGATTAAATAATAAAGCAAAGTAGTTGGGCTACTAAAACACAAAGAGAAGAACACACATTTATTCTGTTTTTTTGAGATGTCAGTTTAAGAAAAATAAAAACAATGCATTAGTATTGGGAGCACTGGATTCACTAGCTTATCCAAAGCCAGGAGCAAGATGCTGATCGTGTTGAATGGAACTAGTATGTTCCTCTTTCTCAATTAACAAACAAATACAATAAAAACTCCTGTCACAAACAGGCAATGCTGTCATTTCTTTACCTTCATTTTGGCCAGAAAGTTACTTGTCACATTTACTAGATGCTACCCCAGCTGCTTCCATTACTTACTAGACATTGTACAGCTTCTCCAACTTCAGTGTGTGGCTGATGGTACCAGGAGGAAACAAGGAGGTCTTTGTAGGTTTCAAAACCAATAGCTTCAGAGCTACCATATCTCACAGCTACTTCTATTTACAGGCAAAGAGGCAAGCCCTTGGATTGTGTGGGAGAGGGTGGAAAAACCAGCTGACCTAACTGCACAGTGCTGCAGTTCACACTCTGATATTAAAGGCTAACGCTGGGCTGAAGAAGTAGCATCACTTTGATCTTCCTAAGCCAGCAAGGAAACACTAAATACAGTTTAGATTCCTATTAAAAGTTTTTATTCATTTACACACTGTGTGGTGCCTGAGAATCTAGTTTTTAAAATGCTTCCAGTTACAGTGGAAATTTACCACTTTCCAAACTTAAATCAAATTCATACTAACTTAAATCCCCATGAAGATACATTCTGCCTATAATTGTTTAGCTCTGCAGTCATTCACAAATACTGGCAGAAGGACTGCAAAATATGAACGTGGGAGCTTGTGAAATGTTGACACTACCCTATTACTGAGGCTTGCCACAATAAATGTGATGCATGTGCTTAACACATCTGAAAATGTGCTGTTGATCTCGGTAAGCCTTTCATTATTCAGAACAGTGCTGCATTGTAAACCACTGCTTTAGGAAACATTCTGTCAGTTCTCCCATCCTGAATTACTTCTAACTTCCTTTTCACGCATTAATGTGAAAATTTTTGATGTGAGAATGTAAGGATAAATATTCTACAGCAATAACTTCACTTTTCATCTGCAGGTACACTTGCAATAAAACATCAAGAGGTTTCCTTTTGAAATGCATAGCCGATATGCATCCCTTTATATAGTACACTCTTGTAAAATTATATAAAGCATTTGATCCCATATAATCTTCATTTTCTGTTAACCCTACAATTTATGCACTGAACAAAAAACAAAGAAATACCTCACTGTTCCTCTATGTCAACACCTCTGTCGCTTATCTTTACACTAAATTTAAATATAATTTCCAATATAACTAAACCAGTACTGGATGAATTTAGTATTCAGTAAATATTTAGAATTCAGGCCAAATCTGGAGCATTTAGATAGTCTTTCCTCAAAAATTATCTTGCTTTTACATGTATATATGTTATTTGTATCTATTATGTACCTATCATTGCTGCAGCCCTCTTATGACATTATCAGATAGTCTGAGAGAAAACTCCAACAACTTTCCTCCTTGCCATCAGAATTCTCCTGCCCTCAGCAGCACAACCCTAGCTCTTTCTTTCCTCTAGTGCTTAACTGATTTATTGCAGAGGTCTTTTAACTCCTAGTGAAAGGCTACAACTTGTTTTTGCTCATGGCTTGTTTTTCTACAAATACAGTAATTTCAGTAGTCTTCAATTTACTCAGAATGCACTGAGATCAGTAAAGCCTCACAGCCTGTGTTAAGGCGAGCAGTGGAAGCACACTGTAAAGATCAAAAACCCTTGCTTTTCCAAAGACAGTGGGAAGCTAGCATCTGGTCTCATGGAACTGCAGCCTCAAGGTCAAACAGATTGATAACTCTTACCCTTGGACAAAGCCACTTGTTTCTGTGCTCCGGTTTTGACTTCCTTATAGATAAGCAGGCAATCTGTCCTGCCTTTTTACTATGATGAAAACAGGCTGATGTCTCTAATAGTGACCCTGTTAAAGACATCCCACTCAATGATTACAGTTTCTTTGTCCTGGCAATTAGGAGCCACTGGTCCCCAAACATGTTTAGCAAAGGCAAGGACCTAGCTGGCTAATACAGATATGCTCATTTTACACATACAGTGGGAATCTTGGTGCCCTCCTACTCCTATGCTCTGCTGCTCCCACTTCCAGCTGGTTGCTTGTCCTCATGAACTGTGCACTGTGGGCACTTCATGCTGGCTACTTCACTCCTTGCTAATTCTGCTCTCCCGTGGCAGAGCCTCTACATTCTACTGTCCTCGCCATGCCTTGCCTATCTTTGTTTTTCGGGGTGTCAGCTATCCCAGCGCACAGGAGTGATACAGGCTTGGAACATGTCAATTGTTACTTTCCAGGAGCAATTCTTCCAAAGACTTGCTGACAATGATCCAAATTTAGGTTGCTACCTTTTACAAAAGCAGAGACTGGTCTTTCCTATATCTTCATTTTTCCCTTCTGATTTTTAAAGCAGTTTCATGGTACTGCCAACAGCATTTCCTGACATTTTGGAATGAAACAGATGCAGCATTTAAATACTGATTTTCCACCACAGAAATACCATCCAGTTGAGGATGAGATCCCACAGGCTTAGCCCCTCAGCCTTTTAAATGCTGTTCTGTTTCAGCTCCTTCCCTCTCTTCGCATATTCACTGTCTTGCTCTAGGCTTAAACATGTCCTCAACTCCATCCAAAAAGTGAGGTTAGTATCAGTGTTCAGCACCTCAAAAACTACTTTTAAACCTGAGAAGTAACAGAAAAGCAGTAGTCTACAGTTCACAAGTATTTTAGAAATGCACAAAAATTCTTACAAGGAACAATCCTAACAGCTAGGCTCAAATTTTAGAAAAGAGTTAAAAGAATTTAAACTGTGTAACTGCTTATCTGAAAACTCTGATGAAAGTCTACAGAACTAGTCTTACATAACCCATTTTAATATTGCAGCTGGATAGGAAAAGGGAACATTCCAGTCTGGTCAGCAGGTTCACTGCAGACATTGTTGATTAACTATGTGAAACTAGGTATGGGAAATTAATCGTTTCTGCAAGATTTCAGTGAAGAACAAAGGTAAATTTCAGGAACCTGGAAATCTACCGATAGCTCTTTAGGTACATTATAGAACTCTGCCCTTGGAATGGTGCTTGCTCAATTACCATTTATCTTCAGCAGTTCACCATGCAGTGCATGTGCAATGGCATCTGGCCATTTTTTATCCTCTGATGACTACTCAAGTCCCTAATCTCCCTAATCCCTTGCCCTCTACAAATACATAAAATTACTTCCCCCTCACCAGTACAACTGGTCTTTCTGCATGTTAGTGCTGGATTTGAGCGAATGGGAATATCTGCACAGAATTCAAGCTGTTATTTCTTCAGCAAGAGAACTACTCTTACTTGACAAGTAAACCTTAGTGTGAAGAAAAAAGGATTTGTTGCTATCAATTCTCAGACTATAATGTTACCTGTACTGTTTGGTCCCATATGTAGCTCAGTAGGTTGACAGCAAAGGCTGTTTGGAGAACTGCTGTGCCCATTTTTCAAATCCAAAACTATAGGATACCAAAAAACAACAAAAAATCATATCACTAAAGAATTTTGAAGTTCTAAATTATCCACTTCTTTCATCCTGACATTGCCTTGTCCAAATATTTTATGAATTGTGGTTTACAAGAGAAAAACACAAAAAGGGGAATGTGCTCAGTAGCAGTTACACAATCCTGAAACTGCTCATAAAAGGCAATACCTGGGACAGAAGGTTTAAGGAAGATTTCAAACTGCTTCCTCCACAACTGCTCACAATGTTGACTGTCTTGCCATGCAGATGTTAGTTGGTAATAAAGCATAATGACAAGGGACTGGAAGAGACATGCCAGAGACTACTTTCAATACATCCCGAAGCATCTCCACCTTTGCCAGGCTATTAATGAACACAAGGAACAGTGACATAAATGGCTGAGGCAATTCTGCTTTTAATTGACCATTTCCCACAGGGGGGGCACGGAGATGGACAGTGCTTGAAACACTTAAAAATAGGTAAATGTATGCCTGTAATTACATAGGACTGGCTAATTTGAACCAAGTCATTCAGGAGCTTTCTTTCCTTCCTACAGAAGCAGATGAAAGGTTATCTGGCAAAGTCCTGAAATAGAGATGCACAAGATAGCGTAAGTGGTATTATTTGACACAGACTCCTCCCCAGTGGTTTTGCTTCTGCTGTGGTGATATCTATGGCTATGTTTAATAAATAGCAGCATATATGAAAGATTCACAGAAAAAAAAGACACTTTAACAGAACTAGTTTTTCTAGCTAAAGCAATGGGGCTGGGGGACACAGAAAATTCTTCCAGTCACCAGACAAAAAGAGCTCAGAGTTATGAAAGTATTACTTACTATACATTAGGGTTGTTTCAGCAACAGAAAAACAACCACAACATTATGAGAAGTGGAAGAGAAAAGCAGCACTAAACTTTTCCATGGTACTGCTTCGATTTCAGATGACATTACTTTCACTGCAGGGACTATGGCTGGTAGATCATATCTTCAGATACTAGGATAGCACATCACTGCTTCTTTCCTTTTGCAGGGATATTGTTTCATGCAGCTCAGAATTTTAAGTCAGCAATGATCCTTTTCTGTATTTCAATAAAAAGGGGGATTCAACTCAGTAAAAATAAAGTATTCTCTAAATTGCTTTCCTTTTCACTCCTGTCTCTTTACAGCACATAAACTAGAGCGCGTATTTTTCTGGCCCTTGAACTGCAGAGGTATCTGCTGTAGACCAGAGCTTATTCCTGGATTCACACAGTTGCATGGATTCTCATGTGAAGTGAAGGTATTCCTTGGCATTCTTGACCCAACCCAGCAGAGCTTGGCTACGCAGCACTCTCCAGGCTTCTTGATAACTTAATGCAGCTTCCTTGTAGTCCCAGTAGGTTTTTAGAGTCTTCATCCTGACAGAAAATGCACAAAAATGAAAGCAATTCTATGATCCTGTTGAACATGAGGTCACAAAATGAAGAAAAAAATCAAACAGCTAAGAACCTGACAACCTCCCATGAACTCTTCCATGCTACTTAATGAAATTCTCTTCTAGGGAGACGCCCAGGCTCCTAAGCTAGACATTGTCATCAATCTTACAAAAGGAAGCAAAACAGCTCTCCTAGCACTAGAAATGTCTGTGTTTGACTGTGTGACCACAGGTCACAGAAAACTCCTATGACAGAAAAAACTGCTGAAACAAAGCTGAAAATGTGGCTAGGGTGCTTTGAATTGGGTGGAAGTAGCCTTAGCGTGCTAGAAAACTGGCTGTAAGGGAAAAGGACAGAATGAACTGGACAGTTTTTTCTTTTCCAACAAAAAACTAATAGGGAAAAATGAGAGAAGGGAGAAAATAATCTCTTTTCTTTCCCTAAAGCAGAAGAGACTCATCAGTTTTATTGTCATTTCCCTTCCTCAAGTAGCAACTATGCCCCACAGTCTCAGAACAACAATTGGTCACTCTGCTGAGCACATTATGCCAATGATTTTTAAAATAGGGAAATTCAGGTCTAGAGTATCTGAACAAAAATGCCTGTAAGACAATTTCATCAAGATTTTTTTTCCTTTCCTTGCATTCTGTTCCCAACCTCTTTGATTTCCTTTGCCAAAACATCTGTCAGCCATGTGTGATATGCAATGTTTATTTCTTACAATATGAAGGGAAGATCATAGGCAACATGACCTTCACCATCAAAGAGGAAACTACTACAGGAACCCTAATCTATGAGGTCTGAGAACCACTGCACTAACTTCTACAACACGCTTTCATGCTCAAAGGCAATTATGATCACCCCCAAAAAACCCCCACACCTCCACCATAACAGCAGATTATCAGAAACTGTGATTGAGGCACTCAGCATTCTGTTATAAATTTATTTCTAAAACACTGTGATGTGCAAAGCAAGCCATATTATCTATACTTCAAACCTTGTGTTCAGAAAGGTGCAAGTGTGGAGAACCTATCTATGCCATTGCTGAATATGGGAGATACAATCTCTCTTAAGAAACCTGCCCTGCACTCTTATCTCAGTCAATCCATTTTCCTTTCTCCACCTCTTTCACATTAATCATACTCAGTGAAACTAACCTCTGAGCTACTCTCAAAAGTCCCATGTAAGGGCCCCACTAAAACTCTCCCCCATCTGGCCAGTGGAACGGTCACAGAACCCCCATTATCAGTACTAGATCTGGAACTGGAATCCTCCATACTGCAAACTGAGGAAGGAAGAATTATAGTAGAATCTTAATTGTGATGGCTCCTGACTACAATTTAAGAGAAAAAAATGGATTATTCATCCATTTAAAAAGCCCAGCAAGAAAGTCAGGGCAGGTTTATTTTACAAAGTCCCCCTTAGATTCAAAGGGCCATATAGCCAGCCACACCTTGTACAAACAGCAGTGCCTGGAGACTCTACGGTGGATGCCACTGTATGACAAGAGAAGGTCATCACTTCCCCAGGTGGTGACTAAGGCATGTTTTTTTTCCTAACAGCAGGGAAAAAAAAACCCAGCAATGCAAAAAATCTCCTTTGTTACATTACCATCAAGTGACCTGCAAACAATACTGCAGAGAACTTTATGTAACAATTCAGATTAGCAACAGCACAACACTGTCCAATGGTGTGTCACCATTCCATTGGCAGTGAACATGGAAAGCATAAAAAAAAAAAAAGGGGAAAAAAATAAAGAAAGAAAAACAAAGGATGGATTTATGCACCAGTAATTTCAAAATAACATGTGAGAGGGAATCAACAGAAGAAGATTAGGTATGATAGGTGGCAGTAACAGGTAATAAATAAACAACATTAGAGTTAGTCTGCCTAGAGAGATGAGTGAGAATTTAAGTATGGCACGGAAGACAGAGATCGTAAGAATTATCACAAAGGAAGAAAGAAGGCGGGACAGCATCATACACTACTATCTGGTTCTTGATGAACTAGCTCATGCCAACCAAACGCCACCTCCTACCCAGTCTCATTTGAAAGCAAATAAACTAAATCCTGAAAAAACCCAAATCAATGAATGTCATGCTTAACATGTGAGACAAGCTGTACTAGTATAAATACCTAAATTTGCCTTTTAGAAGAGCCAGCAAAGTTCAGGCCCCAGTAGGCTGTCTATGTGTTCCAATTTAACAGCACCCACACAGATCCTCTGTGTGAAGAATGAATACAAAAGTCACCAAAAGCAGGAGAAGCAGCTTTAGACACACACACACACACCAAAATAAAGAACATCAGAATCAGTTCCATGTAAAGCTTTAAATTCCCTGGTTCCTAAGTCTGACAGTGGACAACAGTAAATGAAGGCAGAGTTACATGAAGAATAACCCTTGTCCTAATATACCCTACAACTACAAAACAAGCAAATTTGAAAGTACTACAGAATGAGCTTTCCTTGATGGAGCAGAAAAGATGGAAGGCAAGAGACAGAGAAGTGGACTAGAAGAGTCAAGGAAAAAGGAAACTGGCAGACAGCACAATTTTAGAGCCAACCATTTGTGGGAAGAGATAACAAGATACGTTCAAATGTGAAGAAAATACAAAACTCGGTAACAGTTAAATACACAGAAGTTTAAAGAAACAATTTGAGAGTAGGATTTCTTATCTGAAGTTCATGCAGACTCCAAGGGGAAAAGAAAAATCAAAACATCAGAATACAGTGTAGAAAGGAAAAGGGAAGATGAAAGAAACAGCAACACAAAGACACTTTTTCATTTTGCTTTTTAAGTAAAGAGGAGGAAAAACAAAAGAATTAAAGGCAATCAGCTGCACAAGCTGACTAATGAGCTAGCACCAGCATAAAACCAATATCACATCTGTGAATCAGCTGGACTTTGTCAGGAGAAGCCCAGACAGAAAAAATACAGTAGAGGACAAAAAAGTCAAAGGAAACAACAAAGCCAATGGTCTAGAAAAGCCCTGAGGTGAAGTGACTTTATGTAAGCAGCATGTGATCAGCATAATGAGTCACCTACCCAACAACGCACAAGTTCACAATCTGTTTTGAGAAAATTATGATGGCTAAACAAGCGTGGACAAACTCTCACCCAAAAGAGGCTAAAAACTTTATATTTCAAACTGATTTAAGGACAAAGTCTCTCTACTTATAGAATCAATTGAAAGCATCTCAGCAATAGCATGGTCCATGTTGACATAAAAACTTTGAAACACTTATGAGGCACTTCTATAGACACAGAAGGTAACTCCAATCTTTAATTCAACAGAACTCAAAAGCAAGCAAGATCCATTAATTAAAGATCCAGGGTACACTTACTTTGGCTGAGTTTGTTGCACCTACTGTCTTAGTACCATGAAAGGCTGAAATGGCCTATCTCCCCTGCCTCCAGTCACATACGCCTCCTACTTCCTTGGCATGGCTTTTATCTGTTTCAGATTTCCATTGGCCAGTTAAGTTCATTAGTCCAAGAGAAAACACAGAAGACAGGGCAATTGTTTTTAGCCACATTACCTAGTTGAACTGGACCATCATGAGAAGTGCTACTGACAGAAGGGAGAAAGCAGGAATCAACAGCCAGCAATAAACTGCTGTGGGACCACCCCCATCAGCAGCTACAAGCAGTTAAACTGGCTCAAGAGTTGGGATAACTGCATCCTAAAGCTGGTAAAATTATAACTGGAGGTAAGTCTAAAATAAAATAAACATTCTGCGGCAGTGGATTTGGACCCTTCTACATCTCTAAGCCAAAGAGAACTAAGTTTCTGTACATGTGAAACTATGCTTTACTTTACAGCATACTACCAAATATATAATGCACCTAATGCTATGCCATACTGGATGATTACTGCAAGTAATTAACTCCAGTTTGATAAACCAAATTGTTTTTAATAATGTAAAGAAAAATTCCAATTATGGTTTCCTCAGACAAAAACTGCTTTATTTTCTCCCCGGGTCTCTGTTTCTGTAACATATGCATTGCAGTAAGAGCCCTATCTATCCTTACCAACCACATGAGAGAAAAATGCAGAAAGAGCACTATCTCACCTTACTAGCTCTTACTCCACCATATGCTAAGATGAAAACAGATTTTAACCTAGACTTAAAAAAAAAAAGGGGGGGGGTTTACTCCTACTCAAGCTCTTCCTTCTTGTGAATCAAAGAAGTGGACTTTGATAGAATTACTGAACACCAACCAGATATCAATAACTCCATGGCAATTTTGGAATGCAGGGTTTGAATAGCACCAAGGGTAGAGAGCTGCAGGCAGCTGATCTAATAGCTCACAGTTTTCAAAAAAAGATACTACTTCCTCATCTTGTATCTCTTTCCACATTTTTTCAAGTATCAAAGTTTAACAATGGACTTCTCTAAAATGAGATTCATGAGCATATACTGTATCATCACAGTAGTCTTTGGTTTCATTAACATATATTCACTCTTCTAAAGGTAATGATGATGTCTTTACCGTAGAGTGTCTGGTAGATCTTCTTGTGAAATACTTATCACCAACTTTTGGAATTTATGGAAGAGTTCCACTTTACAGATTTTGGATCTGATATAAAAAAAATTAAAAATTAGAAATTCTGATGGAATAAAAAAATCATAAATTCACTCCCTCTTATAGCTCACAGCAGTACATCCCAGCTAAACATATTTGACAGAATATCAAAAAACCTCTCTACCCCATCCAAGCTGCCCACATGCCTTTTCCCTTAGTTTTAAATGCTATATTGACAAAAAGCTGCATTGCCCCCATTCTCCCAGCCAGCAGTCACCAGTTTGCAGAAAGAACATTTTAGTATCACACTGTAATCTGCATGAAATCATGACAGTCCATGAAACTGCACTGTCATCAGTTCTGCAGTAAGGTTTAGCCAGAAGGACTAGTCCCAGAACAGATCAAACAAGCAAAGGACTCCGAAGGCTTTTTTGAACTGTTAAATTTTGTATTATTCAAAATAAATAAAAGAAGGAACAGAAATATCTGGAACGATGCTGATGTCTTCACAATGGTGATGAGGATACATTCAACAACAGCTGCAGAGCAGTTAAGTACAAAGAGGCTCATCAAAATTAAAGTGAGTCAAAGTTTGAAAGATCTTTAGAAGATACTATATACATTCATCAGCTTTGAGCCCTTTTATTTCCCCAAAGAATGGCAACCAGAATCACTGCTTATAAAGCGTAGTTTGGTTTTGAATGGCCCAGCTGTTTCCTCTATTTAATTATGTTTGCATACTTGTTTTAACAATGACTGATTCAGTTCTCCAAGAAGTGCAAGCTGATTCTCCAGAAGCACTGAAAACAAAATCAATCAAGAAAAAAATCTTCCTATGTTGGTAGCATATATTTTAAGAACATCAAAAATGGCATAGTATCATAGAATCTCCATAAGGATCATTGAGTCCAACTCCTGGCTGAGGAAAATCCCAATAATCCCAGCATGTACCTGAAAGTGTTGTCCAAATGCTCCTTGATCTCAGACCACTGTGACCACTGCCCCAGGGAGCCTGTTCCAGCACCCAACCACCCTCTGGGTGAAGAACCTTTTCCTAATATTCAGCCTAAACCTCCCCTGACACAGCTCCAGCCATTCCTCGGGCCCTATCGCTGGTGACAAGAGAGCAGAGAACAGTGCCTGCACCTCTGTGTCACCTCCCAAGGAAGTTGTAAGCCTGCTGTGAGGTCTCCCCTCAGGCTCCCCTTCTCCAGGCTGAACAAACCAAGTGACCTACCTCAGCTGCTCCTCGTAGGGCTTCCCCTCCAGACCCTCCATTATCCTGATGGCCCCCGCTTTGGACGCTTAGAGCTTTATCTTGTATTCCTGTGCCCAAAACTGCCCCTAGGAGGTGAGGCCACACCTGTGCAGAGCAGAGTGGGACAATTCCCTCCTTCACCTAGCCAGCAATGCTGGGCCTCATGTCCCCCAGGATGCAAGTGGCCCTCCTGGTTGCCAGGAACAACTCATATCCTACTTGCCAGCAGTCAGGATCCCCAGGTTCTTTTCTGCAGCTGCTCTCCAACCTCTCATTTCCCAGTCTGTCCATACATACAGAGTCACCCTGTGCCATGTGCAGAAACTGGCATTTGTCTTTGTTAAACTCTGCATGGTTGGTGATCGCCCAACCCTGTTATTTGTCAAGGTCCTTCTGCAGGGCCTGTCTTCTTTCAAGGGAGTCAACAGGTCCTCCCATTTTAATGTCATTGGCAAACTTATTTAGTGTACCTTTGAGTCCTGCATCCTAGTCATTTATTAGGATGCTGAAAAGCACTGGCCCTAAAACAAGAGCCCTGCTGAACCCCATTAGTAGTGATGGCATACAAAGATGCTCTAAAATTTAATATTCAAGTTAATCTGTCAAAATTTCATCTTGTAGCTGTTCATGATTTAGTTAATTAAGCATTAACAAAAGCACATACCAGACATTTACTCACAAATTCCTTTTAGTCAATCAGCTTTACCTTCCTTGGTATTTAATGTTATCTAGCATATTGAAAGGGGGAAATAACACTTCCCAGCAATCATCCTGAGATTTCTTGAGAGGAAGAAGAATGTAGAAATACAAGTCTTGTTTATTATTTACCACCACCACCAGTCCAAATAAGGCTGTAAATTCCTTATTTTCATTATAAAAGTTCTTTTGTGACTGTTTACCTCAAAAGCATGGATAGTTTACTTGTTCGCTGACATTGTTTTTAATCCTGATTTCCTAAGGAAAACGAGATGTTTGTAATCACAGTCTTCTAGGCTCTAATAACTTTTGAAAGTTTTAGTGAATTTCAAGCACATGTTGAGAAAAGGATCTTTCAACAATAATTGAGTTCTCACACTTTTGAGCTGTCAGCTAGCAGATGCCTCTCAAGTTTTAGAGCTGATGCACAAATGCTATGTAACAAATTTAAGCCTACTGGAAAAAGGGGTAGCTGGTTTGTTTGATCATTCATATGTCTTCAGGAATACATATGGCACATTGAAAATAAATATTCTACAGTGCATACGGAATCCATCTTAAAAGGTGCACTTAAAGTCACTTAGGTCACCTGTATTAGAAATACCCCAGACACCAATGCTGGTCACAAACCACAAAGTTCCTGGCCCTCTTCTTTCCACAGAAAATTTGGGAATACTAGGATATACCAGGATAAACTTCAGTCAAATCAGGCCTAACTTCAAGAAGCTCAGACTGTGCAACTTGCAGGCATATGAATTAATTCTCCACAACAATTGTCTAAGCTGTACTTATTATGCTATTCACCCCTTGTCACGATCGTCATCATCCTCCCAAAAAGTCCAGGAAACATGAACAATATGACCATTGATAAACTGGTAGTATAATCGGCCAACAGCTAATTTGAACCACAATCCTCAAGCTGAATTTCCATAGAGCAATGAAAATTTTGGCCATCTCACCTAAAATGAAGGTAACACAGAGATGGAGAAATTTGCCTACAGATGCTCATGAGTAATTCCTCTCTGCCTCAAGAAAAATATGTAACTATTTCTTTAAACTATAACTGTTGATAGAGGATTTCTTAAAGAGCACCAGTGCCAAGATGACAGTTGGAAAGGTGACATGTTCATGTTAGGAATGTGCTGCCATCATTTTGACACATTTTCAAATTTTAAGGAAGAAAGTCATGTTTCAAAGCTACACTTTTAATGATCATACATCCAGGACAGCTGGCCTGATATTAAATAAAAAAAAAAAAAATCTCTAGAAAGAGAACCTGCAATGCACACATTTCCTTCACAGTCATCAACCAAAAAAAACCCACAAAAAACCAAAAAAAAAAAAAAGCAAAAATTGTTTCCTTCAACAGTAAACATCCTTTCAATAAAAACTGATCACAGTCCCTCACCACCATTATCTACAATGTTCTCAATAGTGACAAAGAAATATAATAAATTTGTTAATTCTCATTTAGCTTTCATTATTCCAATTGCCCTCTCTTCCCTTAAACAGCAACTCTTCCCTTCCCCCTGCTCTCTACCTTTCCCCTTCTTCACCATTCCCTAGATTTCCTCCCGCTCTGACAATATCACATGAGCTGACAAAGACATGCAAGCTAACACTCTCATACCTGCTCTGATGGCTCCCAATCCCCTTCTTTGTTGTTCCCTGGCGGAAGCCGTCTGAGGTGACATCCAGAGGTTGTTCAGGGACTGCACTCCAACTGATAGCTGTTAAAGAAATTGTTATGAACAAGGGAGATGCTCTTATCACAAAAGCAGAACCTAACAGTTCCTTTCATTCTATTTGTTCCTGTGTTGCTTCCCAAAATAATTCAAACTAGAAAGAGTACCATGGTTTTCTAGTGCCAGAATTCCAGCATCTGAAAGAATGCTCGATTTAAAAACATGAAAATGCACACACACAGGGCTTTCATCTTAATTAGATAATTTAACAATCCATGCCTCTAAATATCCGGCCTTCAGCTTTGTAATTCTCCATTTCTTAGGGGGATTCTTTCTTTTGTGCATCATGCCTGGACAATGTATGAAGAAATTTCCAAGCTAGATGCTTATTTTCACATCAGGCTGTGAAATATTGCTCTAAACTACTTGCACCAGTCCCTCTGTTTTCCTTCTTAATTTAGTTTCTGCTATTATTTTACTGTGTACTCTAAGTAGTTTCATGTGTGATAACTGACATACACCAAATATTTGGAGACTTTACTTGAAAAACATTATTAGCTAGTAGTCATATAAAAATAATTTGTTGGAAGAGATAGCAAGTGCCAACAGCCTTAAACTCTACCCCGAGTCTCTGAACTTTGTAATCATCTCAGACTGTAAACTTCTTAATGCTGAAGCTCTGCATACAATACCTTACAATTTCTAAGTAATCAGCAAAGCATCAGCAGCATGTCAGGAGAAACTGACATGTCCAATCTGTTCCTCTATAGCATAACAGCAGGTTCTTCAACTTCTACTACCATGAGACAGCTTCTGTCTCCTAAATTCTCCCTCTTCTCTGTGTTCCTAACAGGCAAAACAGTTGCACATTGCATTCACTCTAAAGACCATCCTGCTATTCAGGATGCTCAAAGACTGCTTATGTTACTCACCGTTGTATTACAATTCAGCTGTATGCTGCAATTGTATTCTGCTAAATCCCGACTGTACTTACACAGGGATTCAAGAACAATGCTGTATTACTCTTAATTACTCTAAATTACCATCCTGTGTAACATGAAAAAACGTTAGATACATATCACTGGTATTAAATCCTCCACATGTGAAATACCTAAAAATCACCTGGTTAGAAGATATCAGTTTCTGACAAGCAGATTCAAAGTTACTTAAAAATTAAAACATTTTGTATTCTTTCACTTTTTTCATAATTATCTCAAGGCACTACACAGAACTGGTATCTTCTTAAAATAACAGCTGAAATGTTCCCATCAAGCATCCTTCAATACTCTGTGTAACAGCCCTAAATTTAGAGTTTATTCTGATTTTCACCCCATGAAAAGAAACCACCTGACATAAAAAAGCATGCTAAGGCACCATTCATGTTCATTTAACAAAATGACCTGAGAAGTGTACATCAAGAAAGACACAGAGTGAATTCAGTCACGGCTGCTTTCAAGCCTTTTTGCTAACTTAACTGTCACTATTTTTCAATGACAAAATCTGTTTCCTATCTCACAATCTTAAAGCATTTTCCTTCCTGGCACTTGTAAATAACTCAAATTTAATGAATGTAAATTCCATTAAGGAACATTCTGTTTCCATTCTATTTTATCCCTAGCTCTATTGCAATAGAAAAACTTCCAGTTCTGGTTAAGACAAAAAAGTATACAACAGCAGAAGGCAGGCATGTCCAAGTTAAAGAAACTGCTTAGCCATACACATAGAGTGGCAGTTCAGTTTTTTGTTTTTTTTTCCAACTGAGACCATGTTGCTAAATCACATTGAGATTTAAGCATTCATTCATCACCATGACATAAAATGCCATGCCCAAAATATCTATCAATACAACTTTTACACTATACTACTCTGTATTGTTTCTTCACTGACAGATTTTTGGAGCAATTACAAACATAACTCAGCATGGCAAGTCTTTTGTTCATTACCAAGGAGAATGCAAAACTAACTGAAACAAGAAGTCTTTTGTTTTCTTCTTGTACTCGGCTTTTGTTTTCCCTGGTTATTTTCTGTCAGTGTTTAAATTATAAATTCTTAATGACATCAACCAAGTTTTTATTCAGTCTGAAAACTCCCTACTGGAAACTAGAAACTGAGACAAATACTATTAACCTGAAATTAATTTTTTGCTTTTTGTACTTTGCCGCTAGTATACTGGCAAGGAATGATGTTCCAGTCCAAACAACCAAACCCATCTCATTTCTGTTTGGGCTTTTGCACACTGTTACCCAACTAGCCCAAATGAACTCACCTGCACTGCAAGGAACAAGCTTTGTTTTGCTGTTACTTTGAACTTCCTGAATTGCCTGATGGCTGTGTTCAAATTGAAGATCTGATTGCAGCAGCTTAACCTCCTGAGTGAGAAAACCATCTGGTAAAGATGAGATGTGCTGACACCTAAAGTAAACACAGAAAAATGCAAGTGATTTTCAGTATGTTCTTCCCAAACAAGACCATTTTGCACAATTTCCATTCATTATCTAAAATAAATTTCCTTTACATTAAAACTGAATTGAACATCAGTTTTTTAGGTAAGACAGGAGGTTTGAAGGCATTTTTTCCCTTCAGAAAAATATTTACTAAACCTCAATGCCACATTAGTTTATTATAACCTTGTCCATCCTAAAAAAACTGTGATGATTTGGTTTTTAAAAAGGTCTAGTTAAAAGCTATTATAATCAATTAAGTACGCAGGACAAAAACCGCAATACACTTCTGCAATCACAAAGAAAAATAAAAATCATGAAGTATTCACATAGTCAACTGCATTCCATCGGGAATTGTTTTATGAGCCTAAACATTTATAACCAAAGCCTAAAAACATACAAAATATACTTACAGTTCCATGTATAATCTTTGTTACCTTAAATTACTGTTCGTACTGAATGACTTTAGGATCAAGTGAGGAAAATACAGCATGTGTTTAATCACTACAATACTTAGAGCAAGAATTAAGACTGAGATTCATATTGTCAGATCCAAGAGTCTGAAGAAGTGCCTGACTGCACTAGGACTAACAAGGCTAGGAAAGTTCTTGTTACGTCTTACAGAACAAGGAAAGGATTATACAGAAAGCTCCACTGGGTACGTCACTGGAGTTTCTCCATTAATAGACTTACAACCTCTTTTATATCCTAGAAGGATCGTGGGTATAGAGGAAAGGAGTTACTAAACCAAGTCAAACCTTATGAAATGGTCTAGTAACTGCCACTTAAAAAGAATGGTTCAGCTCCCATGTTTTTTTCTTCCTTTCCTTTCCCTTCACTCTGCCCAAATCCACTTACTCTTCTCTACTGCTCTACTCCACTGACTTAGCCTCCCAAGCAAGAAAAATGTCTACTGCCTGTCCTGGTTGCTGGGATAGGTTGCATCAACTGAATAATCTGAGAAATAAGGCCAGTGCACAACAGATAACTTTCCTCATTTTGCACCAGTGCAGTTCATCACTCACATAGATCTTCCTGAAATGACACGCTGTGTTGAAAGCTCTCACAGCAGCGAGAAAAATCCGATCTTGGATGTAACTGAGATTAAAGAAGCAGACAAATTTTTACGACCATGAAAATTCATATAAACTTTGCTTCTCCAGTATAACACTTCTTCCAGCTGACCAGTACAAGCTGTCACATACTACATGTCCTGAACCATTTCAATAAACCAGAGAACAACTGAGGTGGGACGGGACCTCTTGTAGGTCATCTAGTCTAACCACCCCTCCTCCAGCCAGGCAACCTACAGTCATCTGCTCAGGACAGTGTCCAGATCACTGCTGAGTAACTCAAAGTTGGGAGACTCCACAACCTCTCAGCAACCTCTGCCAGTGTTCCATCACCCTCACAACAGTAAGCGTTTCCTGATGTTCAGAGGGAACCTCCCATGCTTCAGTTTGTGCCCATCGCCTCTTGTCCTATCACCAACACCACTGCAAACAGCCTGGCTCCATTTTCTCTGCCACCTCCCTTCAGGTATGTATACAAATTGGTAAGATGCCCACAAGCCTTCTCTTCCCCAGCCTGCATAGTCCCAGCTCTCTGCATATGAGAGATTCTAAAAATCCATTATGCATCTTCAAGGCCCTTTGCTGGCCTCTCTCCAGTATGTCTACATCCCTCTTGTACTGAGAGGCCCAGAACCAGACACAGCCTTTCAGATGTGGCTTCACCAGTATCAATCCAGGGGAAGGATCATCTCCCTGGACCTGCTGCGATACTTTGCCTGAAGTGGCCCAGGACACCATTAGCCTTCTTTGTTGCTAGAGTCTGAGTTGGAAGGCACACTACTGGCTCATTTTCAACTTCACATCTAGCAGGAACCTATAATTCTTTTCTGTGAAGCTGCTTTCCATCTTGGCAGCCCCCAGCATATATTGGTACATGGGACTGTTCTTTCCCAGGTGCAAGTTTTCACTTCCCCTTGCTGAACTTTATGAAGTTCCTACTTTTCTCCAGTCTGCAGAGGTTGCTCCGGATGACAGCACAATGCCCTGGCCAATCAGCCACTCCTTGGCTTTGAGTCTTCAGCAAACTGTCTGGGCATACAGTCTGCACCATCACCCAGATGACTGATTAATGAAGATATTAAGTAAGTTTGGATCTAGTATTGATCCCTGGGGTACATGGTTACTTACACCTTTAACTACACTTCACCCAATGATCACTACCTTCTGGGCCCAGTCATTCAGGATAGTTTTTAACACACACGTCTGCTCATCCAGCTCACACTTGAACAGATTCTCTATCAGCATCTTAGAAGACACATTATCAAAAGTTTACTGAAGTTCTAATACTAGTATGACACGCATTGTCTTCCAAAGCTCACTGTTTACATGCACAGCATCTAAGGGGAGCACTTACCTTTCAATAACTGCTCTCCGCATAGCTTCTTGGCTATACGGACACTTCCCCACTACAACTGCAGACAGATACACTGGATACTGCAGAAAATGCATCAGAAGAGCTCCTTGACACCCTAACACGTTCCAGCGAGCCAGTTTATCACTGCAGGACATAGAGCACGTTCGGTCTCCTCGACCTGGCTTCACTCGTAATAATCCCACACAGTGGTACCCCAGTCCAGGTATTCGGGCATCATCCAACTCTCCAGGTACACATTTTGCTCCAGTTCTATGAACATCTACTACCTTTGGTCTCACTAAGCCAGTCTCATCAGTTGTTTGCATCTCTGCACAACATTTACAGCTCTTTTGATTTGCGTCTTTTTGTTTCACAGATTCATGAACAGCCAGGTCTTCAGTGATTATGGAAAAACAATCAGCATCATCACTTTTCATTCTCTTGATTGTATGATTACTTGCCATCTTCTCTGATTTCCTTTTATCTTCTGGATACAAGTGATTACGGTTACTTCTGCATTCTGCTGATTGTCCAACAGCATGACCTCCAGTCACTGGCTTAGAAAACTGGTTCTGTGGTTCACTGATTGGAAAAATAGAAGCATCTCCACCTGGAACAAAAGAAATAACATAAAATTGGCCAAAAAAACATCTTGTGACTGGAACACATCATGCCAGTAATATTACAACTACTAGTAGCTTTCATAGATCTGCACTCAGGAAAACTTAACTATGAGAACACATTTTTGAAACAACATTGTCCTGTGCAACACTGAATCAAATCTCACTGAAATTTGAGCCAACTTAATTTCAAGTTCTGCATACTATGTAAGAAATAATCAAGAAAGTAAAATTTACAATATATAAAGTAAAAGGTAACAGAGGCATTTGACAGACTCCATCAGTGCTGAAGACTCACAGGAAAACCAGCCTGATCTAACCAAACAATATGAACCTCAAAAGAATAATGAAAGAATAATCTGTCAAGCAAGGGTGAAAACAATCTGTATCACTGAAACAAGCTCAGAACCAAAATTCTGAAGCACAGTTCAAAGCAAAGCAAGCCTGGCAGGCCTGCTGATTTATATGAGAAATTTCTCACAATGTGAGAAAAAGAAAATAATGAAATTATTCTCACCAATAAATTTGAAGACATAATTTCTATTCTCAAATGCACTAATGAGGAAAAATAATATTGCATATTCCAGAAATGCACTCAAAATCATGAAGATGTCTGAGGAACCAATTCACTCTATGATGTACTGAAAAGGCATATTTTGAGAGTTCTTAAAACTCCTTTGCTCTGTAGCAGACTAGCAGTTAACACACCAGTGAGAGAGCATGGTAACATCAAGATGCCCGATACATTCGTAGACCAAGGGGCCACATTCCTTCATTCTGTCAACAGGTCTTCATCTTTGTGGTTCTGGTTTTTCTAAACACACAAAGAATGTTTTCCAAGTTTCATTACATTCCCTAAGAAGTTTTGTCTTGGGGAGCTAGAGATGTCTCATGAATGGGGCTTTTTTTCCTGTTTTTCAGGAGTGTGGTTTTGGTTTGTTGGGGGGTTTTGCATGAGTTGGTATTGGCTCTTCTCCTCTGTTTTAATTTTTTGCTTGGTTTTGGTTTTTTTGTTTGCTCGTTGCTTTGGGGTTTTTTTGGTGTTCGTTTGGGTTTTTTTCTTTGTTTGCTTTACAGGGTTGGGGGTGGCTGTTGATTGGGTGTGGGGTATCTTTTGTTTGGTTGTTTTTAGGAATGGTGGTAAATGCCAGTATTTTTTATTAAAATTTTAATCCATGGAGATAATGTTTGAAACAAAGCAACTAGGCAATATGGCAGGACCTCTGACAAGTATGTTATTTTCTGGAAAGAAAAATAATAGCTATTATTTTTTAAAATGAAACATTCCACTATATAATGAGCAGTACATCAGACTTACTGAGTTCTCATTAATCACATCCAGTGAAATAAAATGCCAAATGTATCTGTGGAGCACCAGTCAGGTACATCTTTGGGCACGTATCGGTACATGAATTACTTCCTTGTTCTCAATCCAGACCAAAGAGAGACTAAAGAAAGACAAGGGGCACAAAAGATTCTACAAGCGGGAGCAATGTATTTGGTTCACTCCAGCATACTCACATGGGGTATGACTGGAGAAGAAAATAAATATGATATTTGGTTTGAGTTTCCATTTCCCAGTTTCAGTTCCCGGACTAAAGATACATTGCTGATGGGAAGCTGCAAGCCACAACTGATGGAGAAGATACCTGTTAGGCAGAAAGTTTTCATGAAACATTGACTCCGTTTTTGATGCATGAGAAGACAACAAAACTTAGACACCCTCTAGAGCCTGCTCTTTCCTGATGGAATTCTATCAGGAGCCACTCAGTTACGCTTTTACAGAGAGATGGCATCCAACATAATAAATGTAAACACATCATTGGAACTTTAATAACAGACCTCAAAGAGTTAGATTCAGTGGAGTTAAAGTTAAACATCACAAACTGTATAGATAAGGTTCTCTCCTCCCAATGTCTGTATATTTACCAACTCTGCAACTCATCTGATTTTTATGAGACTCAGTTTAGTGGCATCAAATTGCAAGAAACATACTAATTTCTGCAAAATTACTGTTCCCCTAGCTCAGTTCCCTGAACCAGTTTATCCCATGTAAACAAGAGGACTGGCATGTGGGAAAGAGCAAAAATTCTATCCTTGACTAGTAGTCATCAGATCTGCATTGATGTCACTTGAAATCAGATCCTAATTCTTCATACAAAGGCTACACAAGAACAAGGATGAAGCAAGCTGTTGTGAAAAGGCCCTAACACTACCTAGAAGAATACAAATTAGACTAAAATCCTGCTAACAACAGGAAAAAAGAGTGTTGCCCACACAGAAGTAATGCAGTCTTTCACTACATTTTCATATCTAAAGATACAAAATTGGCTATCTCAGCCATAGGTCAAAATTATTTGTATCGCAACAACTTCAGGCAGCACTGAGTAACAGCATTGAGTAAAACTTCATTCATGCCTCACCTCTGGAAGCTCCTCTTGGCCAAAATTTCAGCATGGCTGTCATTCAGAATATCTCCTAAAGCAAAACCCAAATGTGAATACTAAATCATGACTAAAAAGAAGACAAAACAAATAGAATTTGACATAGGACAGCTCTACATATTTGTTAGTATATGAATGTTTACCATTGGTTTTAGAGTATTTCAAGATATTTAAACTTCCAATCACCACAAAAGGAGGTCAACAGCCTATGCAAATAAAGGATAAAAGTACTCAGTCTGCAGCAAGTCAGAGACTTGTTTGAATACCAAGTTTTAACTCTTCTGATACTGGAAACCCTTTGAGTTGAATAAACACTACCCTCCTTCAAAATCTTCCTGACTTTTGTTTTCAATGGTAAATCTTGATATTCTCAAAATACTGCCAGAAAATTTCAAGTGCTTGTTAAGCTTTTGGTTGAATTTTCAACTATGTCCTACAATTTAAACTTTTTTTCCTGCAAATAATTCTGGTATTTACTAAGTTTGCACATCTCCAGCTTTCCTACAGTATCTGCCTGTTATGGTGTATAAAGGAACAGCAGCGGTAGATCATCTTTTACTTCAGGGGTAAAAGGCCAAGTGATAGAAGTCCTCTCTAACAGTTTTAAAAGTTTAGAAGTGATCTAACAGATAACCATTAACATGACCTACCACCAAGTTAAAAATGTTATTATAAGAAGAAATATTTTCTAAATTTGAGATCACTGAAGACAAACAAAGGCAAAACAAACTAGTGTTACTTTTTTCCTAGTCAATTTTCTATTTAGACATTTAATATCTACGTTGTAAATGGTACAACAGTTCAATCATAATTTTCCTAAATCAGTCAGAAAAATGTCTGCATTAAAACTTTTCTGAGATGGCCAAATCACAAGAAATAGCCCAAAAATCTAAGATATAGAATCTAGTTTCCTCTGTTTTGCTCCACTAATTAATTTCAAAATGAAGGACATTACCGAGAACATAAAATAGCCTAAAACAGAAACAGCCAAAACCCTTTCTCATATCTCACTCAATTCCTCCTCTGAAGTCTAAATAGGGCAGAAACTCTGTACCTACATATGCATGAACACCTTTCCCGCTTTGCCACTTTTCAGCATTCATCATTACTATAGCTTTTTCCCTGTCCTAGCAGAGGAGACAGATACATCATGAATTTAAAAATGGACACATAGAGCAAGGAAAGCCTCCTGCAATACATAGTAAGAAACGGTAAAGTTGTGAGAATCCATGTATCTATCCCATACATTTATTGTACAACACTTAAAACTATTTAGGAGTAATATGCCATAAAGAAGAAAACATGCAGTAAGGGAGAAAAACCCTATTAGTATCTTCCTGCTGGTTAGTACCAGCAGTGGTACCTCTTGCATCAGACCCCAACAAAACTAGACTGCAACAGGTGACCAAAGCACAATTATTTTGCTTATACCTTGTTTTGCTTATATTTTGCTTTTAGCTGTGAAGTCTTTGAATATGCAGACTCAGGGCTGCCACAGCATAGCTGGCCTGGACTGGACAAAGTAAATCTGACCATAACGCAAATACATTTCAGCTAGCCTAGTTCATATCTGAACATGTCCCTAGACACGTTACAGGGGACCGTCAGCCAACCCCATCCAAGCTGAGAAGTAAGCACACCACTGGCCGGGAAGCTGGGCAGGGAGAGAGATATCAGCCAATGGCTGTCTAGCCCAGGAGATTCGAATTGGTATTTAAGTGAGTTCTGAATAATAAACAAGGCTGTTTGTCTCATGAGCACCTGGAGCACCAGTTGTGGATTTTCATCTCCCAACCCATGACTGGCAGTTACACAGGGCCTAAACTACACATTTGCAGACATAAAGAGTTAATTCACTTTTGAGGCAGCAAGTGCAGCCATTGTGGCTGCCTAAGCTCCTCTCTCATTGATGAATCAAAGTCTATCTTACACTTCTGGCTTCAATCCAGAAAAAGTCTGAGCAGAATGCCTTGGACATTTTCATTGATTCTATGATACCAGCGAGAAAGAAGGTAGCAGAGGTAGTCTGCTCTTGAATTTCACACCATACTTACCAGTTTTTCGCATTTTCTTTTGGCCAATACATTTTGTTCCAGTTCCCATAGCAACAACTTCCTTAGTTACTGAAGAATAAACAACATTAACTGAAAAAACTATAGCCTCTAACCATTGCCAGAAACATTGCTCTCATGCAGTCATTCTGGTAAGACAACACACAGAACACAGAATAGAAGGCCGTATACAGAGAGGCGCACCATGCAACCTTACAGAAAAGAAAACAGTATCAGATCAAGAACTGAATGCAGCAGGTAGAAGAAACAGGGCTAGGAAAAGTCTATGACCGCATAGGAAGAATGTTAATACAGGCTTGGTAAATAAGCTAGGCAGCACACAGCAGACATTGCCACAGCGTTCCTCAGGCACATGAGAAATCATAAATATAGTATACAATCTGCCTGGCAACACTGAAGTGCCACTAAAGGAAAAGATGATGATGACGAACTAACACAAATGCAAAATGTAGTAACACAATAGGAGAGCAAACCTTTCTAGGATTCTATCAAATTAAACATGTTTTTTCCAGAGTTTATATTAGGAATTCAGGTTCTGCCTAGACTTTCACCACATATTGAACACAAGCCAAATTAAGGCTTTCATTGTCTTGTTTACAGTCTGGGAAGAATGGCATTTCACTAAAACCACCTCTTTCCAGACAGAAGCTGTGAATCACACAAATAGCAAAGTTTACAGTCACAAAGAGTAAAGAATTTGGGTGGAAACTGCAATGGAATAGGAAAGGGTGTGTGCTTTTTTAAAGACATTTTAAAAGAACGGATATAAAAAGAAAGCATCAAGAACCTTCTCTGCCTCTCCCTCCTCTCCCACCCCTATCCCCAAATCTCGTTCTTACCCTCCAAGTTTCCTGGACTATCAAGAGCCTCTCTTTGGGCTGCAGATTCCACTTTGACAACAGCTGCCAGGGAAGTCCATTCCCTGTTTGGATCTGGTTTCCCCTGCTTAGGAAGTCTGGTCCTATAATGCAGGTAACATAGCCCAGCGATTTCATCGGCTGACCACATGGCTCTTGATTCAAGTGCAGGTTCTACAAAGAATTGGATTCCCTCACAACACTTGAATAACTCCCATCTCTTCAAACTCTACCACCCTGTTCTGCATGACACTTTCCTGCACCACATTTCAATAACAAAGTTCTTAACTGCATCGTCCCTTTCAGGACTACTTACAGGAAATAACTTTTTCTAAATCGCAAGAAGTAAAAAAACAATGCCCGAACCCTTAAGTGCAGCAGAAGGTGGGGCTGCTGGGTTCCCAAGGCTCCCACTATACAGCAATCAATCGCATGCTTCAAGCCGCCATCCCGCTGCGGTCTCTGCAGCACACCTGAAGCGCCTGGCACCATCCGCCTCCTTTCCAGGCCTCGCCCCTTGTCGAGAGACCCGAGGCAGCCCACGCTCCGAGGGCGCTGCCGCCGCGGTCAGGCGCACCGCACCTCCCACCACCCTGGGCGCAGTCCTTGCGGTCCCCTCCCTACCCACCGGGACACCGGCGCCGCTGCTCTTCGCCAGGACGAGCGGTGACAACCAAACCTGCGGGGCCGCGCCGCTCGCAAAGCGCCCCGGTGCCCGCGCACGCGCAGCCGCCCCTCGCGCGTCAGCCGCCGGGAGCTGCAGCCCTTTGCGCAAGCGCACAGAGACTCAGAGACGGGTGCAGGGAAAGCTGCCTTTATTGAAGGTAAGCGCCACTCCGAAGCTCAAGCGGAGGTGCCCTCGCCGCGCTCGGGCTTCACGCGGAGGTGCCCGCGGCGGTCTGGAGCCTCACACAGAGGTGCCCTCGGCGGGCTGCGCCTCCTTCTTGTTGTCCTCCGGTTTCATGGCGGGGAAGAGCAGCACCTCCTGCAAGCAACGATAGCGTCAGCGGCCGCGCGACCGGCAACACCACATCCCCTGCACAGGTCTCGCGAGAGCTGCCCTAGCCCCGGCTCCGCTGCTCAGCCGCGGGCCTCAGAGCCGAGCAAGCGCGCCAAGGAGCTTTCCCCAGGTGGGATTCTGCGTCTTGAAGAATCTCACACAGCTGCATTGGCAAGCCCTGCTTTCGTCGAAGAGATGGCCCATTCCCTGTTCCCTGACAAACCCAGCAGTAGAAAGGCACTGCCACTGCTTATGCTTACCTTGATGTTATTGGAATCTGTAAGGAACATGGTCAAGCGGTCAATTCCCATGCCCCAGCCAGCTGTAGGAGGAAGACCATACTCCAGTGCGGTGCAGAAGTTTTCATCAATAAACATGGCTTCATCATCACCTGCAGCTTTTGCCTAAATTAGGAAATCAATACTAAAACGTGAGTTGTACAGAGCTACACACTACTGCTCCTGCTAACCCCTACCCAAAAGGAGGAATACTGCTAGTTGTAGCAGCCATATAACGGATGAAACCAAAGCCCAATAGAGCCGTGCAAATGAGTAACAGACGAAGAAACCTCAGCACATAGAGAACTCTGGAGGTCCTTTGTACAAGTGCTCCCAAAATAGCTCTAGACTTGATTACTTTCTGACCTGTAAGTTTCCTATCTTGGCCAAGGCCCAGGCTCTTTACTTCAGTAAAAGCCATCTTTCAGAGCCATACGGCAGCAGATGACAATAGAACGTATTGCTTTCAAAGGCTTATGAGGTTCTTTATTGGTAGCAACTCCCCTTTCAATGTTTGCAGAAACAACAAAGAAGCATAACTGGTTGAATCATGAGTAGCTACTTCACAGGTTTTTTCCTCTCAAGTAGAAAGACTAAAAAAACCCTACAGTGAGATGGGAACTCATGCCCCTGACCCTGACAGCCTCCAACTGACAAAAGTCATAATAAAAAAAAAAAACACAGACCATCTCATATTTTAAAAAAGCCAAAAAATAAGTGTCAAAACAACAGCAAACATTTTTGCTCACAGGTTCAAGGAAGACTTCGCAGAAACTGTTATGGAAAACTTTTCTCCCTGAAATCCTGAAACGCAAACTGTCACCCTTCATCTCAGTCTCCACCTTAACATTAAATTTTGAGGCTAGTTTTCATTCAATACACATAACCATATGTCTACAAAGTCTGTCTATAATCATGAGAGAACTGCAGCAAGCAAATATACGACAGATGAAAAATTAAAAATATCTGTAATATTATTCATTCTGACTGAAACTTTGAAACTTACTGTCAAGTTAGTTACTTAACATAAATTTATTTTCCTGGCTTTGACAATTGTTTAAACCTCTCAAGCAATGTGAAACCATTAGACGGAACATGAAGATCGGAAACTCTTTCTGCAGACCACATTATTTGACCTCAGTCATGTACCCAAGCATGCATTCATGGATCTGTATACCAAACTAATAACAAAATGAGTTTCAGTCACTCCTTTTAGAGAGTTACATAGAGAAATTTAGTATTATAAACCTGTGAGTAATTCCCAGTGTGCACCTCTATCCTGTGAGTCAACATAAATATTAGTACTCTGTTCAGGAAATTAAGATATTTCTTACACAGCATTCAAACTCTTACCGGACATGAAAATTTGTTTAAGAACCTAGAAGTATAATGTTGTATGACTACAGAAATACTTAACTGGGGGAAAAAAAAACAACTTTCAAGACACAGAAAACTTTTTGCACATCTGGGTTTTCCAGATTAGTACTTTGGGTGGAATAAAAAGGAAAATAATCCAAAACGTAGTTGCACTAAAAAACCTAATCAACAGCAGTGTTTGACCTTGTTTACCTTAAAGAGCAAGGTTCCTATAAAAGGAACTGAGTTTTAATGACAGGCTTTCACTTGAGTGAGAAACACTCATTCAAAGTAGTAACAAGTCTTTTCAGCAGTGGGTACTATTGACAGAATGGGGACAGATATAGGAAATCCTCTTTGCTTACATGCCTGTATTACATTCACTGTCAGCAAAACACCATACCTTGGCCTGATCCTCAAAAAGCTGACGCTGTCGGAAAGGATCATTAAGTTCTGTGTACGCATTGCACACCTCTTTCTTCATTACAAAGAGTTCAAAGCGTTCTGTTAGTCCCGGAAGAGAGCGATGCCTGTGTGAAGTAGACAAAACAGACATACCTTAAAATAATCACACTTACAGAAACAAACAGCACATACATTACTTAGGGGCATTGCTCACACTTAGCACTAACAGCTGTCAAAATTTCAAAGTACTAAGCATCGACACACCTCTTCCACTTGGAGGATGGGTTTCACAGCTCAGGAACCAAGGTCTATCTTGTTTATGGTAGAATTCCCAAACTAGTACACAACATCAAAATCTCTGTTTTCACATATGCAACTTTTTTCTTTTTTTTTTAAACAAAGTAGAAGATTTGAGTTACACACTGACCATGTGTCATACTCTTACCATTTGGCAAGCGGACTCATGACCTGTGGGTGATCACAGATGAACGTAGGGTTGATACAGGTGACTTCCAGGAATTCACCAACTAACTGGGAAAACAAAAGTGAAACAATTATGCTGTAGTGTACAATTATGCACTTTCCTAGCACTGCCTTCACCAAGCACCCTAATTTCCTCTCTTTTGCTACTGAAGAAGGTACCAAAAATCTGAAGAGTTTCCAAAGTATTTCTGGTTATGGTAATGTATTCATCAACAGAGAGTGTGTCCTTGTCAGGTAAGGAAGAATGACACAGCAAAATCTGTATAATAATTCAATTTGCAGATTACAGTAAGAGCCAATAGGAAAAATATTAAAAGAACAGCTATCAGACAATATTTGAGTACAAAGGAATACAGCTGATAGAATTATATGGTACTCCTATCCTTTTGGTCAGCTACATACAAATGAACACACGTCACAGACAAAACTGACCCAAGATAAAGCAAATCTTTTAACCACAAGAGAGCAGTTATCCAACTACAATATCCTAGTGCTCAACTTAAGCAGACACAAGTAAACTACATTTTGGTGTGGATGACATGAAAGAAGGTTTTGACACAGCAAGTTTTCTCACTGTAATATAACAATAGCTGAAGTGCATTGCAGCATGTTTTTCCTGGTGCAGCTAAACCTTTTCTTCTAAGAAATTTCTCTTGATACAGAGAGTGAGATCCTCAGAGACATCAGGATTAGAAAAATATCACCTTTACTTACTTTGTCAAGAAGTCTGGCTGTTGTCCTGGGAGGTGGACATTCAACATTTCTCTCCACACAAAGGTTATCAAAGAATCTACGAGTTTCTGAAATTGCAGATGAAAATTAGAACAGCCATCCCAACAACCATTTTTTTCTCTTACTAGATCCTTCAACTCCTTAGAGTTGAACTCCTTCAAACCCTTAGACCCTTAGAGTGACTCGTAAGATCTCAGTGGCAGACATCAGGGAAAACATGAGCTTAAATGTCAATCTAGAGAAATAGTGTTTGGTTTTATTTGTTTACAGTAAAATAGTAATTATTTTATACTTCAAAAATTTTACAGCAGTTAAGCACACACCATATAACTGCTGGACATTATTATTTGGAGGCTGGGGGGGGGAGAGAGGAGAGAACTGGGGGAAAAAACAATCACTATAAATTATATGAACTCGTTTCCTTGTCTTTTGATTCCAAGAATAAAACAGCACATAATTACTTTTTTAAGAAAGCCCTGAATAATCATACACCCAAGCTACAATTACAGGCATGGAAACTCAACTGCACAAGAGAGAATAAGAAGCAAAAAGCTGCATCTCTTCAAGATATCAAAACCTCCCGACATTAGCCTCTTCAGTATATCCTTTCACATATACTCAACAAAGAAAGAGGCAAGAGTCAGATCCTACCAAAGATGGCAAGGAATGAAAACTTCTTTCTGGGCTCAGGTAAACCAACAAAACCAGAGGAAAGGAATCACATGTGTTAGTACTACTTCAGAAAAAGCAGCTGACAAATTGTAGCCTGAGAACTTGCAACCTTTTGCCCACTTTCTGTTAAGGAAGAATTATAGGACATTCATACTCAGCATCTAACCTTCAGTTTCAAAACATTCAGTTGATGGAAACTTCACTCCTAGGACCTTTTCCAGATCATACACCATGCTAATTCGCCGGAAGGGAGGAGTAAAATCTATCTCATAGGCCTGTCCATCTTGACCATCTGGATGGTAAGTGATCTTGTAACTCCCAGTAATATGTTTTACCATCCCTACAAGAGGAAGGTGAGGTTTAGAAAAAGAGTATGTTACATAATAAGCAATTCTACCAGAGATTCTTACTAATTTTTTAATAACATTGCATACTTCACCTGAAAGCAACTTCTCTGTAATTTCCATTAAGTCATGGTAGTCTGCATAAGCCATATAAAATTCACAAGTTGTGAACTCAGGGTTGTGAGTCAAATCAATTCCTTCATTCCGGAACTGACGCCCAATTTCATATACTCTGTCCAGACCACCGACCACCAACATCTAAACAAAATTAAATTCTGGTAAATACACTTTCTCAAAAGAACCTAAAAGAGCCCAAACACATGCAACTGCACTGCAACCTTACAAATCTCATTCATGAGACAAGTTCACCTTCCTTTAAAAATAATCCTCATTTTAGCTCCATTTGCTTTCTTTAATA